GACGGAGGCGACAGCTGGTCTCCCTTAGATCTGGCTGTTGACCGCTCTTGCCTCTGATCTGTTTATATACAACAGAAAAGCAATTTAAAGAGCCAAAGGCGCTGGGCTTGGGGGGGGGCAAGGAAAGGCAAAGGAACTAAAGGGGCTGGGTGGGAGTACTTTTCCGCTCCTGAGAAAACACACCGGCTCCCTAAATCCTGTTCCTTGCTCACCTCCCTTTATTTCTCCCCAAATACACACCTTTCTGCCTCCATCCAAAAGAAGAGGATGAATGCAAGCTAAGACCTTTTGCTAGGGCTTGTACTGCTAAGTAAAGGCAATCGTGTCGTTTCCGTTCCTCCCACCCCTAAAAAGTAACGGAGCAAGTGGGAGAAAAGGCCAGCACCGCCTCTACTACTTACCAAAGCGGCGCCCACTGAGAAAGCTGCCATCAGACATGCCATGTGCCCCCCAAAAGGCTGCAACCCAGGAGAGGAGTCAGAAATGAACAGGGCGAAAAGCAGCCACCGAAACGAACCAGCAAACAAAATGCGGAGCGGCGAGGAAGACTTCCAATGAAGCGGTAAAAGCCCCGGGCAGGATCAGCAGGGAAAAAAAACGGGGGGGGGGGGAGAGAAGAAGGCGGGGCTGCTCCGGGTGCCGGCTTCTGGTTGACCCCGCCTATTCTGCCTCGGCGTCCCACTGGCTCTTCCTCGCCTCCAACTAGTACCCGATTGGATGAGGAGGACCAGGGGCGGCGCTTACTCCTTGCAGGTAAACGTGCTCTTGTTTTCCTCCTGGTCGCCTTCGGGTTCGCGTCTCCTCGCCCGGGCCTTTCGCGCTCCCTTCGGCCGCCGGCCAGCCCGGCTCACGGGGGTGTTTCCTGCCTCTGAGGGACTGAGAGCTGGGCAGCGGACGGAGAACGAAGCCGACGGCTCTTCTCAAGGCTCCGTTTCCAACACAAGAATCTCCGCTGAGTTATTTCCCCAACCTTAGAAATACACTTCAGGTTGTGAGTTATGAGCCATCAAGGCGACAGCGCTTTGCACATGTTCAGAACCACGGTTTCTAATTGTCTGGCTGCATGCGCCAAAAACTGGGTATATGGGATGGCAAACAAATCTTGGCTGTTAAATTTCCGCTAGATTGAACGCTGGAGCATACCAAAGAATTTTTGGAAGAAAACCAGCCTATCCTTTATTTATTATATCAAAGTCTTTGAAGTTGAACATCGATGATGATGGTGATGATGTGCCTTCAAGGCAATTTTGACTTTTGGTTGACTCCTTCCTGGGTTTTCTAGATATAGTATGTTCAGAAATAGCTTTGTTTCTATTATATGCCATCAAGTCATCTTCAACTTATGGTGATCCTATGAATGAGCAATAAAAGGGAAAGGAGTGGGGAAATTTGAAGTGAGTTTAGTGGAAGAATGTGAGGGTAAGAGAGGGGTGGGGTAAGAGCTGTCAGTTTGGGAGGAAAGTATAAGTAGCCAGGGACAGCGTTGATTTGAGGTAGAACTGGAGTTGTGGAAGAGGGAGCTGGAGAGGTTGAGGGAATACGAGAGAGTAAAGACTCAGGAGCTGTTGAGGGACTTCCCTGACCTGTAGCTCGGAGGGTTGCTATCGGACCCAGTACCGAAGGAGAGTGGAGAGGTGAAGTATGAGACTCTACAGTGGTCGGTAGTAGTCTTTCCCAAGAATAAGGCGTGCGGGCGGCAGGTGATAAGACCTGATTCGTGTTACAAAACTCCCCCTCCTGAAGGTGAGTGGGCAAGGCACCCATGCTGCGGCACCGTTTGCGCAGTACGGAGCGCACCCCTTCGGAAGCCAACAGATGCTGAGAAGTTTGGCCCAGCACCCCTCTAAGTGCAATGGAAGGAGGACAAGACTATGTGTTGCCTGAATTAAGCTTTTTTCGATCCCATCATGAATAATGTTGATGTTACCAGTTGTTAGTAAAGACGAAGCTGTTAAAGTTAAGAAGACATCTCCTGTGCTCTTTCTTGTGCAAAGTGAGGAATTGTCAAAATTTGAAACTAAACCCATTCACACTAAGCTACGTGGCACCATGGTGAGAGCACACATTTCCAGAATGGGTACAGCTGGCACTTTAGTTTTAACTATCCAAACCCACACTACTGGCCACTGCTGAGACTTGTGCATCCAGCCTCAGAGGCAAATCCAGGAGCACACCTGAATGGTGGACTTGACTTTTCAGGGAAAGGGTAACTCTGCCCTGTACAGTCTAGATCCTTATTCCCTGATGTGCTATTTGGCTTGTTCGGATTAAGCTTCAGTTTATCAGTTTATCCAGTCTATTACTGACACTAGACACTGATTTAGAACTGAAAGAGACCTCATCACACTTCGATGGAGAAAAGCAATACATTGTCTTCTGTGTGCTGGTGAAGCTGAACGCTCCAAACTCTGTACATGGTATCCCAGCAGTTCCATGTATAAATTAAATAGCCTGTAAGACAAAATAGAACTCTGAGTAATGCTATAGGCCACTGGTTCTTAACCTTGGGTTACTCAGGAGTTTTGGACTGCAACTCCCAGAAGCCTTCACCACCAACTGTGCTGGCTGGGGGTTCTGGGAGTTGCAGTTCAAAAACATCCGAGTAACAAAGGTTAAGAACCACTGCTATAGGCCAATGACGAGGGTGTTGGGCAAGAGTCCCCTCAGCACCACCTTCAGAGCTGTTCCCTTCAAGAATGACCAAGGTCACTGTTAAACAGGGCCTCCAAGTCCTGTCCCAAAGAAATAGCCCAGAACATGAACATGGTATCAAAAGACATTGAGAAGCCAAGCGGGGACACACTCCTATCCAGTTCCTGGCATAGGTCACCTACCAAGATCCTTTGCTACAACAACAGGCACCAAATCTACCAAGGTGACCAAAATCATTTCACAGTCCCATAACTTGCCCAGAAACCAGACTGTGGTTAATCTAGATGATCTGTTTCATCCAGGAACTTCTGGAACTGAGAAGCCATCACATTAGGGACTGGCTGATAATGATCCAACACCATGGGATTCAAGCCTACTATGAAGAATTTGCATTACATTTTGCAGGCAAAATCACTTGGAATTTCAGCTATGGTTACACTATTGCCTCCTTTGAGCATGCTGGGATTCTGCCCTGCTGCAGAGAGGTATTCATCACTCATCCCACCCACTCTGCCAGTCCTTCTCTGACCGCTTTTATAAGTCAGGAAGGAAGGATCCAATACATATGTGCTGACTTTCAACTCTCCAAGAGTCCTGTCCACATCTCCAGGCTGCAAAAACTGAAATTTATCCATCATTACAAGCAGCAGCGAAAGTTACATTTTGACAGGACCTATATCAACAAGGGGGACGTGGGACGTGGTGGCGCTGCGGGCTAAACCGCAGAAGCCTGTGCTGCAGGGTCAGGAGACCAAGCAGTCGTAAGATCAAATCCATGCGACAGAGTGAGCACCCGTCGCTTGTCCCAGCTCCTGCCAACCTAGCGGTTCGAAAGCATGCAAATGCAAGTAGATAAATAGGGACCACCTCGGTGGGAAGGTAACAGCGTTCCGTGTCTAAGTCGCACTGGCCATGTGACCACGGAAGATTGTCTTCGGACAAACGTCCTGTCCACATCTCCAGGCTACAAAAAACTCAAATTTATCCATTATCACAAGCAGTAGCCAAAGTTGCCTTTTGACAGGGCCTATATCAACTACAGCGTCCAAGTCAGAGTGGATCTGAGTGTGTTTGCCTTCAAAGTGCTGTGCAAATTCTTCACAGCAGGTTATTGAGTGGTGTGCAAGTGGGCCAATACGTAATAGGCCCTTTACCAGTCAACGAACATGACCGGACAAAAAATTGTCAAGGGGAACCTTTACCTTTGCCTATATCAACAACAGAATCCAAGTCAGAGTGGATCTGATTGTGTTTGCCTTCAAGGTGCTGTGCAAATTCTTCACAGCAGGTTATTGAGTGGTGTGCAAGTGGGCCAATACGTAATAGGCCCTTTACCAGTCAAGAGAGCTCTGCTGGATGACCATGCAGACGCAAGGTGGCAAAGAAGAATGATTTCTTGCTGCTCCCTTTGCCATTGGATAGGTCTTCCATTGGCCTTGAGCCTGCGTTTGGTTGGATTCCCTGACAGTTTTCTGCCATCACAGCTCTAGTCTCTGAAATGTTATCTTCTGTCCTTACCCAGCATTCAGTTCTAATGTGATCTTGAAACTCTCTCTTGAGTTTCAAATGGATTTTCTTGAGAAAGGCGTTTGGGTTTCCCATTACGTGATTCACCTATATGCAGAGCCTCTGACAATCAGTAAGTGATTCATCTCTGTGTAAGCCACTGTGAAGTGGCAAGGATTCTAAACTGCTATAAAATTGCACTCTGGGATATTGGAAATCAAAGAAATTACAGAACCCGCTACCTAAAAATAGAAAGCAACTCTCCTGTGTTCCAGCTCTTGCATTAACTTTGCAAATGGCACATGGAAAAAAATAGTCTATATTATCATAATGAAAAATTAAACCACTCCTTGCTGCCCTAAGAGTATTGATCTGGCAGTAAACAGGTACAAGACTTGAACTGAGTTCTGCGAAGAGTTCTCCCTGTAGTACTTCTGCCAGATACCATACTATCGTGGCCACTACAATTAATTCTGCAGTAATGATCAGAATGGTGGAATAGGACTCAGTAAATAAATTTAACAAACAAATATCATTTAGGCCAAAGCCCTATTAGTTATACTTGCTGGTCTAATATAGTTGGTATAAATTTTGTCTGTGAATTACTGCACGTTAAGAAGTCAATGTAGGCATTTGCTGTTGTGCTGAATCATGCAACTCACTTGCAACAACAAATGCATACACTGACTCCTGAATATGTGCCAGTTCACCATGGAGATTTATGCTGATTGTGCTATGCTTCTATAAAAACATAATAGAATTTTGGCCAATCAGGGGAACACATTGATATGTAATACTTGATTTGCTACTATTTTTTTCGATCTTGTCTGCAGTGGAGCACAACAGGAGAAGAAAGAGAGGAAGGGAATGCCAATGGGGGGGAGTCTGATGATCCCAGGTGTGGGACAAAGAGGGAACATCTCTCTGGGGTGGAAAAGTGACAAAAAACATAATACTAGCACCACAAAATAGGCATACATAATCAATGCACACAACATCCACAAATCAATCTTGGCACAGGGTATATAAAAAACGTGCAGCCAGCCTGGAAAAGCTGACCCAAAAGTAGCTGCGGGTTTTCCCTGCATGCCATGTGAACAACAGAGGTTGGAGGCAGGGCTGTATTGAAGTATATTGTTGGTGTTGGTCTGGCCCTGGAGGTTCAACATGCAGTTGATAGTCAACTGTTTTCAGTCCTGAGCGTGAGAGGGAGCTACACAAAGCATCTTCGGGAAACTTCATCAGGTCCAAAACAGCAGCCGGATTGCCGGCTGGGGCTGGTTACAGGGATCACATAACCCTTGTGTTACCACAACTCCACTTACAGAGGTTGAGGAAGGGTGGAGAGAGAGAGCTCAAAGGTCAAAACATCATCATCCTGGCCAGATGTTGAAGTTATAGGATGTGACAAATTTAGGACAATGCCATTGTT